CGTAATTTATAAGTTATTTTTACTGATCAAAAGAAAAAGAAAGTTATTTTACTAATTGTATTCACAGAGTACCTGCCTAATAAAATTACGTGAAAAAACTCTCAAAATTAAAATATCGATAAACAACACAAAAATAGCTTAAATGTTTTGAGAATTTGACCACGTCTAAAAAGACAAATATAAGTTTCCTGTCAAATTCTAAAGTCTAAATCACCGAAAGGTCCGTGTTATCTTTTTCGGCGGCTTCTCTGATTGACTCTTCTCTGAGGTCATTTGAAAGAGTATCCGGAGTCTAAAGTCGGGTTTACAGGGTTTAGGATAGTACTCGAACGAGCAAGGATGGTTCTAAGACTCAAATTTCATATAGGTACCACTTGTGATTTCAGGAAGGGGGCGATCGCAGAGCCCGTGTTCATGTATAAACTCTCATGTTCAAAAAAAGGGGATAAGGTGGGATATGTATGTATAATATGCAAAATATTTTATGTAACGCCCCTAACTGGAACTAATAGATTTATAAGGAAGGTATAAGTTCATTTTAAATCTTATTGGTCAAATTATTCCCTTCTTAGTTAATATTTATTAAAAATATCAAGTAAAAAGGTATATTTTCTTTATATTTAATACAAAATATAGCTAAACAATAGGTTTTTTTTTTTTACAGTAGTGTGTATAAAAAAGCGTACTTATCAGCAAAAACAACAATGGTTATCATAATATTATGCTGCAAGGCATTGTAGAAGTATGTACAATATCATTACATTTGGGTAATAATTTGTATGCTATGAAAAATAAATCTCCCAACATACTTAGAATATAAGGTGATTAAATTTCTCTACTTTTATTAACAAAAATTAATTTATACTTGAATACCAATCAAAAATAATATTGATATTTGAAGAAAATATTAATAATACAGTACTTATATAAATATATAATTATTAATTATTTATAATATTAAACAATTCAATATAAAATATTTTTTCTGTTTTTGTGATGTTCTGAAAACAATTGTACAAAAATAACTAAATTTAGGTTCTTTGACAATTTTTTTCTTATGATTATTGAAGCCAAATTATTTAAACGATCATTTGTCATTCGATTCCACGTGCTCTTAGATAGTTCTAATCTATTATTGCTTATAAAACAGGCATTTTTATCAAGACCCTAATATTAATCTTTTTCAGATGACGTTATCCACGAATATAAATATATCCTGGCTACGTGCCTGGGCCCGAGAAACCTTATTTATCTCGAAACCTTATCGCTGATATAGTTATATTATTTATAATGTACTACATCAAAACTAGAATCTAATCTAAAATATAACGCGTACGATGCACGTCGATAGTTTCAACGAAAAATTAATATTTGGCAGTGTAGGTAATCGCTGTTAGTCCATTATGTATGCTGTTACTTGTCACTCGAGACTACAAATTTCGCTTGTGTGAGTTATACATATTTTACAAGTTCGTCATGAAGTTTGTTTACAACGAAAAACCAAAGCCACTTATCATCTACAAAGGCTACAAATTTCGTTTTCACAGAATACTAAAAGATGGTGTACAGCGATGGCTTTGCTATATCAATAAGTGCTTTTTGAACCTATCTTGTTCACATATAATATATATAGTTCATATAGTTCATAGTAACACTAATTGTAATAACCACAATAAAAATGAAAATAAAGTTATACACAGATAAATATTTATTAATTCTTTGAAAAGAAGACATTTCTTGTGAACCAGCAAAACTCATTCGCTCAGAGTTGAAAAAAAAAAAATGATACCGTTTATCTGTGCACACTCCTCTGCCAAGTTGTGTTGAGAAATTAAATGCTGCTTTGGGGTCTATGGAAATTCTATGGAAAACCAATATTGGTGAACAATTTTTGTTTGTAAACGACGACAAATTAAACTCGATTATGATGCAAAAACTTTTTCTACAATTTATTCTCCATCCAGGTGTATTCAATTTGCAAGCAAACTTGGATAAATTTGTATTATGGGGCCGTCAAAAAAGTTTATCATCAAATATCAACAAATGTAATGTTATTACTTTTTCGCGTATCGATAATTCTATTAGTTTTGATTACAAAATTGATAATTGTTCTGTCACAAGAGCTATTACAATTAGAGGTCTAGGGATTAACATTGATTGCAATATTGGTCTTCCACTTTTTACATAAATACCATAGCTAAAAAAGCCTTAAAGATGCTTGGTTTTATCAACCGAAATACAGTTAATTTTAAAAATATTTCTGTCTTGAAAATTTTATTCTTTACGCAATTCATATTTATTGGTCTTATTGAAAATGAACAACATAAATTCTTAAAATTATTGTGTTACAAACTAAATGTTCCACTTTCTTCAAATAACTCGTATAATATGCGGATAAATTAATTGGGCTTTATGACTTGTGAGGTAAGCAGAAATGTTGCAGATATTATGTTCATTTATGATTTATTGATTGGTTTAATAAGTTTAATATAACAAATCATCATTTAAGAAATTCAAACTTATTTCATGTACCGTTTTATAAAAATAATTTTATAGCTCCACTTCTTTCTTCCCAAGAGCATTAAAACTAGCAAATCTTATTACTGATCATGTAGATTTTTTTTTTATACCCCGTATTGTTTTTAATAGCAATGTATATTTAGCCTAGAACTCATTGTATATTAATTAAACATTTACCATTATTATGTTAATATTGATTTAGTGTTATTTCTTTGTTACTATTATCATTTACCGTTTTCTGATTATTATTATTTTGTATACGTATTTTCATTATTTTTATTTTTATTTTAGTTCTTATTGTTACTGTAAAATACTTAATAATGTAAACCTGATATTGCTAACACAAAAGGGTCATTACCAACGGGTCATAAATAATAAATAAATAACTATTCGGTTTTTCTACGCAGCAAACCATAAAGTTTTCTACGCAGCAAAACATAAAAGTGTTGTGGGACGCAAATATATTGTACGTTTATGGGACGTTCAAAGCTGTCCCAAGAATTTTTTTCAACTTTTTATCATCCATGACTTTAAAAATGATGTCTGTTTACCACTTGTATTTTTTTCACCACCCAACAAGTATAACATCACGTATACGTGTGCATTTAAACATGCAACAACTGGTGAGCCACTCTATGTCTGTTGGTGTAACATGCTCTCCTACTGAAATTTATATAGATTTTATAGATTTTGAACCAGCAACCTAGCGGTTGTAGCGGAAGTTTTCCCCTTATGTACAAATAAGGGGATGCAGATATCATTTAGGGCAAAATTGGTGGAGGCAAATCAAAAATTTAAGACTCATTAAAATTTACAATACTCAACCTAATAATCATTATTTAAAATATTTTTTTTTCATTGCCATTTTTGGATTCTTAAAATGTAATTGACTGTTTTACTGATGACTTTTTGGCTGTACAGCCAGCTGGAAATGATCGGATTGTGAGATTTGCCGACTATTTTTTCGATAACTCTTTATCATCGGATGTCATGTTACCCCATAGTATTTTAATACAATTTATTGTTAGCTGCGATCGTATCACTAACAGCTAAGTTTTCACTCAAAACTTATATCATTATATAAATTCGTCGACGCATTACTTGAAGTTTAATCTGAGATGTATATAACATTCAGAAGTAATGGATTAAAAAGGATCAGAAAATCTGTCAAAAAGAAGCGTTAATCAGACAACAGATGACAAAGCTAGCGCAACAAGAAATAGTTCAGTTTGATTTCGTTAAATCGTCAAGTTTTAAGTTTTTGCCAATATCTAAATAACTGATAATCCGAAATAAAACTAAAAACGATGACGGACCCGTTTATTGGTAAAAATATAAACTTTATAAACTGTGATAAATAAAAAAAAAAACATATTTTTGGGAGAAAATTCAGCCGATTTCCGCGTGGTGTTTCCTGGTTAATGCTAAAATAATGTATATACATAAATTGGTGATTATTTTGTGGCCGAAATTTGTCCCTCTTATAAACCTGGATCGCGAAAATGGGTGACTATTTAGAGGGGGGGGATAGGGAGACAAGACCCCTCTTGGAGAATATTAATAAAGACAATATATAATTTTTCTTGATGCACGACACACAGCCTTGATGAATATTGATTAACTTTTCAGTAATGGACCTATTATTGGTACAATTTAATAATTTTTGTATAATTTTTGACAGATTTCGCAACGTTCTTATATCCATCGTATTTTATAGTCTTTCAGTGCACGTTTGGGAATCTGGTTCTAGTTTGTCCTTCCTCTGAAAATTACCTTAACGACGTCCAACGCTGGAATGTATACGTTTCAAAATTAAATTACTAAATTAATACTCATAGTTAATGTTGTATTTTCAAGCTAATGAAAAATGATAGAACGCCTAACCCCAATGCGTGTGTTTAATGTGTCGTCCTTCCCCCCGATATGAATAGTCAAATGGTCCATCGTACATATATGTGACCACTTGAATTGTATTTGTACTCACACAATGCATTAGGACGTGCAGCTTAAAATAATATTATATAATTAATAGATAACTAGTGGCGTGCCAAAGTAGGTTATTTTGAGGCGATTGCCTCATGACTAAAATGAGTGGGTGGGTAGCTGACCAAATATATTGAATGAATTTTATGCATTATATTGTTAATATAAGTATCTAGTTACAAATATGATAGCCTATATATTATATAGTTATTAAAGTTTTTAAAGTTTCAAATAAAGTTTTTTCCGCAATTATGTGTAGTTGATGTAAAAATCCATGTTTTAATTAGTCGGGTACAAATTTTTTTTGTTTTGCCTCAAGTTCGAAAAATGTTCAGCACGCCACTGTGTATACACGTATACACGGGGAGGGTATATACCGAGAAAACGATTTTATACAATATTCGTATAACTGTTAGCGAATAGCGCAGAGCACCACAACCCTCATTAACGAAGCAAAAACCATAGGGCTGAATGTAAATGATAATAAAACCAAAGTGATGGAGCTATTACCAGAAAACAACCATGTCGACAATGTAGTGATTCAAGGACATACATTTGAAAAAGTGCATCAATTTACATATCTGGGGGCCTCTATCAGTGGTAATAATGACTGGTCCATCGAATTAAATCGCCGAAACATCAAGGCAGAAAAGGCATCATTTTCGTTAACCAAATACCTAAAATCTAAACTGTTTTCTAGAAGAACCAAAGTACATCTTTACATGGCGATAATTAGACCAACGCTAAAATATGGGTGTGAGGTATGGCCTTTAACATTCAAAATGGAACAAAAACTTATNATATGACAACGACCTGAGGTGCTGGCGCAGAAGAACGAACAAAGAGACTCGAGATTTGACAGGAGTACCAAGAATAACCAACTTTGTAAAAACACAAAGAATAAAATGGTTTGGGCACGTGATGAGAAGGTCAAACTCAGATTACCTTAAGGCGGCGATCGAATGGAAACCCACAGGGAAGAGACCAAGAGGACGTCCAAAGAAGCGATGGATAGATGGTATAAAGCAGGACTTAGAGAAATTAGGGATATCAAATTGGGAAGACAAGGTACAAAATCGAGAAGAGTGGAGGGAGGTGTCGGTGGCGGCAAAAACTCTTGAAGAGTTGTGATGCCAATGAAGAAGAAGAAGAAGAAGTTAGCGAATAGCTCATAGTACCAATCTATACGTCTAATTTTATAGTCACTATAAATGCCTATATATAGTAGGCTGTTTTGATTTTTAATTTTTTTTTTCAAATCAAGACTGGAAATCGCTTTCTCAAACTTGACCAAATAAATATTGAGCCTCCCAAAAAAATGCTTGTACTTGCTTATCGCATATTCAATTTTTCCATCTAAACAACGTATAGGATAGTAACGACATTTTCAATTAAATCACATTTACTCATTAAGTTCGAAAGTTACTAGGCTGTACACGGTTTTTTCTTAAAGATCACCAAAAAATACATACGATTCACTTGGAATCAAGTGAAATTTCACTATTATAAGAATAGTTCATGTGTAGAAATCTGTAAATATGTATAATTTATTCAATTGTCAACTCTTAACTCTATGACGCTGATCTATAACCAAGGACCGGTAGAAAGGTCTTTTCATAACCGACAAAATCAACCTCATTTGAACATTACTGGTCAAAAAGTGGTTGAGTTATACATGACTTTGTTGTACAGCCTCGCAACTTTTGAACTTAATGAGTAAGTGTGATTTAATTGGAAGTATCGTTATTAACCTATATGTTATTTAAATGGAAGAGCTAAGGGCTCGGGCACACAGAACGCGTGTGTTTCGTGAGCGGTCAAGTATAAGCACTATATTTTTCAAAGTTGTTACGATGATGTATCCATCTTTGTTTGTTGTCATATAGTTACAAATACGTATTATTTTTCATCGTTTTTTAACTATATTGCTTACTGTTTATTCAATATGTCAAGTGCTGACGAAGGGCAACTTCTTCTTCTATTCGTCCTTAAAAATAAAAGAAAAAAAGAAAAAAAAATTTTTTTACAACATTTTACACAAGCCTGATGACGGGACGTATCGAAAAAGAACAAACATTTTTCGATCGAAATTTCCGTTGCTTCCACCGCACTATATAAACTCACTATAGCAATTTAAAAACAGATCGCCGGCCGCCCGCGCGGAATTTCGTAATTTTGCACGACTTAATTGCCCGTCTTGCCAAGGGGGTAAGACAAGGGTGCAATCTATCACCTACCTTATTTAATCAATACATAGAAGAAGCCTTAAAAGAAGTAATAAAATAAAATATTGGAGGAGTAAAGATAGGAGAAATACTTGTGCAAATGTTGCGTTTTACGGACGATATTGCTGTAATCGGAGAAAGTGAAGAAGACATTTCTAACATGCTCGAAAAAATGAACGTCACGCTTAAAGAACACTACATGAAAATAAACCAACGGAAAACCAAGATCCTTATATGTAGCAAACAGAAGATTTATGCAAATATAACTCTAGATGTAATCTCGCAGAGACTTGGACAATAATGAAGGCTGATAAAGCTAAAATAGAAGCCTTTGAAGTATGGTGTTGGAGAAGAGTGCTAAACATTTCATGGACGGAGAAGATAAAAAAATGATGAGGTTTTCAGGAGAATGAATACCCAAAAATCAATATGGAATACGCTAAGACTGAGGAGGAAAGCATGGATCGGACACGTAATAAGGAATAGTCCTTGGATAACCACAATAATAGAGGGGAAAATCGAAGGAAAACCTGGAAGAGGAAGGCCCAGAACTCCATTTCTGAAGCAGGTGATGGAAGATACCGGAATAGGAACATACTGGGAGATGAAGAGGATTATAAGTGACAGAGATAAGTGGAGAGAAACACCATTAATCATTTAACCAATCTTCGGATTAAAAAAAAAAAAATCGCCCGTCGTCGCAATCTGTGTTGTCCCGCCTTTTGTGTTTGTGCGCGAGCGTTAAATACGCGACGAGCGAGTTCTGAACATTGTTTTTCACGGGCTCGACATTTTCACGGTCGCGTTTGAGCCCGCGAGAAAACGATTTCCAGTCTCGATTCGGGAAAAAAAAAATAGTTGAAAATCAAGACAGCCCGGACGGTGTGCCGGTCACGCGTTCCGTCTCACCGTAAACCCCGGGCCCCCGAAGGCGACTCGTACGCGATCCGGGGATCCGGCCGCGGTCCGCCGGCTCGCTCCGGACCTCCGGCGGCTTTTCGGGACGGGGCGACGGCCCCGGGGCGACGGGATGGGGTGGGAGGGGTGGTGGTAGCGGTGGTTGTGGTGGGGGTGGTGATCGGCTCGAACCGGCCCGAAACCGCGTCGCGACGGCGGGGTACGCGAGCGGGTACGGGGACGGGGACGGGAAGGTTCTGTTGTACACAATACCGTCTGTCGTCGCCGGCGCATTGTGCGCCATAAGAGCCAACCCCCCCCTCCCACCACCGCCCGCCCATTCGTCTCCACCGCGGGTTTTGGCGAACCGTTCGGGCACGGTATCGCACTGCACTGTCGAGTGCATTATATTATTATTATTATTATTATTATTATTATTATTATTACGGCGGTATTGCGCCGTAATTTGCATATGCGGTGCACGATAATAGGAAACCGCGCGGATACGCGTGCGCGCGCGCGTACCGGAAAACCGTTTGTCCTCCGGTGTACGCGCGGCGGCAATAATAATTGTCGTGGTTCTTTTTTATTTTTTTTTCTGTTCTCCATTTATTTATTTATTTATTATTTTTCCCTACCCGCCGGTGCGTACGGCCAAGCTCGCGTCGGCCGGCCGGCCGGCCGGGGCCGCGCACAACAGTATAAACATTAATAACACATAGTAGGTGCGCGCGCGAGAGTACGCGCCGGCCGGGCATGGCGTAGGACGTACAGTATTGTAACGGCGGCGGCGGCGGCGGCGGCGCGAATACGAAAAACAGACAACAATAACGTCGAAGGAGTTATGTGTGAGGTTGCCAAATGTCGGACGTGCGGGCTGGCGGGCGGCTGGCGTACGCGGCCCGAGTACAACGCGAGCGTCCGTACGTACGCTACGGCATTATATTATATACACGCCGCCGCCGCCGCCGCTGTCGGTCCAAACTAATGGGTCTATGCCAGATTGTATCGGGGGGGAGGGGGCGCGCGCACGGGGCGCGTTTTCTTTATTTCCCCCGTGTCCCCCGACCGTCCCGCGCCCCCGTCTCCCGCCGGTATATTTCACGTGCGCTCGTGTGCGTCTGAAAAATACGAGCCCCTCTGCTCCCTCTCGGCGCGCGCGCGCGCGCGCGATGCACTATAGCGCTCGCGGGGGGGTGGAGGGATGGGGGAGGGGAAACCTTCTCCGCGCGAATGCAATAGTCCGCGGTGCATTCGCGAGCGCGCACACACGCGCACGCACACGTACTTTATACATACACACATATATATATATATACGCGCGTGCAGTCGCCCACGTTTTGTAAATGATTCCGGCGGCGGCGGCGGCGGCGTCGGCGATGATATAGGCCGGTGAAAAATCGTCTAGGCTCCGCGCGTCTGCGTTTTACACCACCACCGCCGCCGCCACCGACCGGTCTCGACCCTAAGGACCCGTCTGTACACACACGCGCGCGCGCGCCCAGACGCCCCGGTGTATAACGTGCGCGAACGAATGTTGGCCCGCGTGCGTATGTGTGTGTGTGTGTGTGTGTGTGTGTGCGCGCGCGTATACGATGATATAATATAAATACGTACAGGACGCGCGCGCGGTCTCTCGGATATGCACTTGGCCGCGTTTCAAGAAAAAAAAAAAAAAAAAAAGGAAAAAAAAACCCGTCCGAACGGGAAGACGACGGCGACGGCGGCGGCGGCGGCGGCGGCGGTATATACGGCGGCGACCGTCAATGTATATATATATATATATATATATATATATATACATATATATAATACGCTCTCGGGGCTAAAGTGCAGTAGTACTCCGCGTGCGCCGCAGGAGAGGGCCCCTCCGGTCTACACCCGGTGCCCCCCCCCGCCCGCATCTCTCCCCCCCCCTAGGATAATTTATAATAGCATTTTTCGGGGGAGGGGAGGAGGAGGCACCAAACCGAATGCCGATCGTGTTCGTCGCGCGGAAAACGACGCGACCGGAGCTCCGCGTACGCCTGTTCATAGATTATATTGTACATCGTTATTGTTACGCACGCACTCGCGTACGGTATCGCCGGCGCGTTATTACGCCGCGCCGCGCCGTGTCGTACCGTGTCGTTACTGTCGTCGCGCGATACGTCGGCGGCGGCTGCGGCGGCGATCCGCGAACCGTAACGGACGGGCCGCGCAGCAACGTGACGCGCGCCCCGGGGGCGATTGCTGCGGCGAAATGACCGCCATCGCCCGCCGCGGGCCCGCGTCGCCGGGGTAACGCCGTCGCCGTCCGTATCGCCGTTACTGTCGCGTCGTCGTCCGATTGATACGGGGCCGGATTTCTCGACCCCGGGCCCGTTGGCGAAACACGTTCCCCGGGCCGCGCAACGGTCGACCGTTACCGCGCGAATCTGAACACGATTCGGACTAGCGGTTGGGTGGCGGTTGGATGGCGGGCGGGCGTTTTTCTTTCTTTCTATAAAGCGAACGCAAACACGTACACGCGAACCACGCGAATGTAACGGAACGAAACGCGTACGGTTAGCGATTGCTGTGCGAACTCGCGAATTATTAACAACAAATGCCGGAACCCGTGTTCACCGTACCGGAATCATACAATCGCGTGTGAATGATTTTGATCGCTGTGGAAATCAATATGTTGTTCGCTAATCACCCGTATCTACGATATGTTGATCGATCAACGGACGCGCGTGAATAACGGTTATAGATTCACGGATAATTTTAGGCTACGGGTGTCATAGACCCAACGTTGATTTCACGCGAACGCGCGCGCGCGTGAAACGCCAGTCCGGACGGTAGTTCGGCAGCCCTGTCGGTTTTTTCGGCTCCCATAAAATGCTGTTAATCGCGCCCGCCACGTGTGACGAAACGTGAAACGCGACACTCGCCCGCCGTTTATCTCGAACGGACACACTCCGCACGGCGGGCGGGCCACCGGCGTAGGCGAAGAAAAGTCCGGGAGGTAGACGGGAAATTTAATGC